GAAGTACTTCACAATTCAGGGGGAATAACACTATCGCAACACAAATACGCTACTGATCTATTACATCGTGTTCATATGGAGAATTGTAAAAGCATTTCAACCCCAATGTCAGTGACAGAAAAACTTTCTCAAGTCCATGGAAAACCACTCAATGATGAAGACACATTCAAATATAGGAGTATGGTTGGAGGTCTTTAATATCTTACGTTGACATGACCTGATATTTCATTTGTTGTCAACAAAGTGTGCCAATATCTTTCGAAACAAACAGACATTCATTGAGAGGCAATCAAAAGAATTCTAAGATATGTAAAGGGCACATTAACCATAGGACCTAGATTTAGACATTCTAATTCAACACTCTTAAGTATCTTTACATATGCATATTGAGCAGGGTTTTTGGACTTTCATCGATCCACAGGTAGCTATGCAATATTTCCAGGGCCTAATCTGATTTCTTGGAGCTCTCGTAAACAACCGACCGTGTCAAGATCTAGTACAAAGGCTGAATACAAGTCACTTGCAAATGGCACAGCAGAAGCAATATGGCTGCAGAGCTTACTTAGAGAAATAGGAGTCAGACAACCAAGACCTCCTATCCTATGGTGTGATAATCTAGGTACAACATATTTGACAGCAAATCCTGTGTTTCATGCTCGTACAAAACATATAGAAGTCGATTTTCATTTTGTTAGAGAAAAGGTGACAATGAAGCACTTGATGTTCGATTCATATCGTCTAAAGATCAACTAGCCGATGGTTTAACTAAGCCAGCAACTAAGAGCATGTTGGAACATTTAAGACACAATCTCAACCTAGTAAAGGTTAAGATTGAGGGGGAATGTAAACGTATAGATAAGTGTTAGATTATTTTGAATGTATTGTAAAGATAGGACCAGGTTTGTTGATCTATCTTATCTCTTAGTTGTATTGTTATATAATACCAATCAATACCCAAAGGGTTTATCACGGCAATAACCTTTTTGACTAAGAGCATGAAATTCCTTACTTCCAAAAAAAGGTGAAGATTTTTATGTGAAGAGCATGTTTGGATAGACTAACCAGAAAGGAGAATATTTTGGCTAGAGGAATTGATCTTTCGCTTTATTGTGAAGATGATTGGGAGATGGTGTGATATTAACATGTCTTCGATTCATATGGTTCGTGACATGTCTTATTGATTAGAATCGAGTTCTTTGACTGCTACAAAGAGGATGGTGTGTAGTGGACGCAATTATTTCAACTACTTGGTGGAGCATTGAGAAATTTAGTAATCTTTTTCTTTTTTCTTTTTTATAGAACGAGAAGTGATAGGTAGGGGTGTCAAAAAAACCCGAACCCGATTAATCCGACCCGACCCTAACCCGAATAAGGTAATTAGGGTCGGGTTCAATAGGGTTAGAATTCCAAATCGGGTTATTCGGGTTAACCCGATAAACCTGATTTGTAGTTAGGGTCGGGTTTAGGGTTGATTTTTACAAAAAAAATTGGGTTTCGGGTTAACCCGAATAACCCGGTTAGGAATTCACAACCTTTACATATTCCACCGCTCTCTACTTGAACAGTACAAAAGACTACAAACCCTTGAAAATGTAAATTTTTGTGACTCTAGAAGCATACACGGGTCAAGTAACTCCCATTGGCGAAGTTGAAGTCCAAAAAGATATAAAATCTCAAAAGTACTAGAGGGCCTAAGAAAGTAAAGATTTTTTGATAGTTATTTCTACTTTAAACTAACTATAAACATGAATAAACTACATGGTGTTAATCGTCAACTAGATATTGAAAGTTCATCTATTTAATATTTATAATGGAAGAACTCTTTTAGCTATTGTGGTATGCATGCTTTCTCATATGGTGTAATAACCATGAGGTCCATGATCTTTTATTTTTAATTTATTTCAATTTGTATGCATTCTTGATGTTAAGAAAAGAGTAAAAAAATAGTTTGAGTTTATATCAGATTGCACTCTTGAAAAAACCATATATATTATGTTTAAATTAAGTGTTTAGTGTATTAACCCGACTAACCCAGCTAACCCGACCCTAGTAACCCGAATCCGACCAACCCATACCTTAATAGGGTCGGGTGTCAGGTTAAATTATTTTTTGTGAAAACCCGACTAACCCGACCCAATTAACCCGAAATCCGATCGGGTTGACCCGATTAACAGCCCTAGTGATAGGGTTTTTGATAGTATTGTTGTATGCTCTTTTAATTGGATTGTGTATAGAAAACACAAACTTCGTATACAATGGATTTTGTGGCTCCAAAATCTTATTTTATTTTTGCATATGTAATTATGAAACTTCATCCGTTTAAACTTAAAAATTAATACAATGATTAGGTTTGTACTTTTAAATCTTTCAATTGTCAATAATAATATGGTTTCAATTCACATAGCTTAAACATGTGTCAAGATTAAGGTCATATTCATGAACAAAGACAAAATATATCACTTGTTTTCTAATTAACGCCATATCATAAAAATTCTTTTTCTTTATTTTTATCTAGTTTCTTTTTATGGCCAACTAACTTTACGACATTAGAACTCATTGACAAGAATATATAGGTACAATGAACATTTTCTTTTTCGGTTTCAACAATTGAATGATTATTTGAACCAATTACTCTCAGTTCAAGATCTTTAATCCAACCTTCGTTACAAAAAGAAAAAGACATGAATAAATCATTTCTATTTTGAACCAAGCTTAATACATACACAAGTTCGGTCAATTGATTTTAAAAACTAGCAAAAGCTAGAGAAACTAAATACTCACCCATCCCTATGACCAGTCAAAGCCATGATTCGTTTTTTTAAAGAAACTAAATACTCAAAAGCCGTATACTATTTGTATAGTATATTAAGTTATTCTTGATGAATCATTTAAGCATTCCTTTTAGAATATGGTTAAAAATGGTTTGACAAATTATGGGCAAAAAGTTGGGTTCTTTTTAATGTGTGACTTTTATCAAGAAATAATGGTTAAGAAGCTTTCTTTTTTGTCCTTGTTGTTTCACTTTATGTTGATAACTTCATGTGAAATCGCTTCTCTTTCTTATTTATTAAGAGTCCACATTGTTAGGTTTTGATGCCCAACTTTCTCACATTCTTCTATTAATTATATATGCATACACATGTTTGCTTTATAACTCACATTCAATACTATTTTATGTTGCCTCTAGAATTGGTAAAACATTCGAGATACTATGATTTGAAATATACGTCACCTCCTATATAACTGCGGTTTACCTCATACTTTATAGGTGTATAGGAGTATTATTTACCTCTTTTTACATGATAAAATCATATCATATCAATAACGTATTTGAATGTCCTCATTTTGGTAGCTTTCTTTTAAATTTTGAAGGCAAAATACTAAAGGAGAATTAAACTCATGACTCATGAACTCCGTGATGAGGGGACCAGAAAGTCACGTCCCAAATTCCAATGCTGTGACTACTACCAATGATTTACAAATAATATCAATAATGGACTGAAAAAGTAGAAGTCTTAACTTATCGATACATCAAAATTCTACCAATAAAAAATCTTAACTTATTCCAAACTAAATACCTACATAGTTTTAATTTAAACTTGAAAGGAAATCCTTAAACATTCGACAAAAATATAATCTCCTAAAAGTCACTAATTATTTTCCTTGCCTTTCAAGCTTGTTGCTATAGAATATTAGCACATATTGACATACGTACATAATAATAACCAATTATTTGTATGTGAGTTCATGGTTTTCTATTTATGAAAAGTATCGGGGCCATTTGTCTTAAAAGTGTTCATTTCGTGTTAGTGTATATTGTATTTTTATAATCAGCCCATTATTGATATCGGCCCAAAGCCCTTGTATCATAAGTTGTATTTATACACATGTAATAGTGATTGGAGATCTCTCTCTCTCTCTCTCTCTCTCTCTCTCTCTCCATTGTGATTTTTTTTTTTCTTATTCTAATCAAGGCAGCTATACAACCCTTATCACACAAAGCCTTCATATATAACTAATATCAAATCCAACATATCCCTCATTCTTGACCTAAAATGACTCAACTACGACTCCATGAGATACATGTTCTCAACTTATTTTGATGGCTTCAATGCTCTTGATCACCAAACCAAAAAACAACCAATTTGGAATGGGACAAAGTGGACTCCATTGTAAAAAATATGGATCTACTCAATTATCTCCCAAACCCTACTCCAGAGGGTGTTAAATAAGGACTCTACAGCTCGACGTGTATGGCTAAAACTCGATAAGCATTTTCATGATAACAAAAACATAAAGATCATACAACTAGGAAATTTTGCCATGTGTTTATAGATATCTTACGGTTAGGCTTGGTTCAATTAAGATAAGCTCATCGTGTTGCCCCAAATGTTTAATTCTATACGAGGGGTGATACACGAACATTAAAATATGTTTGACTTGACTTTTAAAACTTTTAAGAGATAAAAGTCAAAAGTCACAAAAATATGAAGTTCATAACTTTTAAAAAAACTCTTTCTTGTTCATGGTAAAATGTTGTTTTAAAAGAACTTTTCCGTTTGTCAAATATCTTTTGGATTTTTTTTACTTTTTGGAAAAATTAGAAGTCCAAAAGTCATTTTAAAAGGAAATCTCTTTCAACATATTAACTTCACATGGCACACAAATTAAACGTATAAGATTTAGAAAATCTCTTTCAACACTACACATTTCCCAGGTCTAGATAAGATCACGTCTAGCCGTCCACGATTAGGTATGAGCAGTTTGTCCCAAATCCCGATCCCGTACCGGTACCGAATTTAAAAATACGGGACGGTACTTGGTACTCCAAATACATGAAATTCGGGAATCGGTACTGCCGGTACAGGTGATGTTAATTCGGTTCGGTACTCGGGATTAACTTTTTATCAAATTCGGTATTTGGGAAATCGGGAACGGAACGGGTCTTCCGTCCCACGCTCATCCCTATACACGACCACCATTTTGAGGAACTGACAAACTTTTAAAATGGTGAGATTAGATGCAGATATATTTCTCATTTCAATAAACACAGTCGACATTTACATGATATGCTAAAAATCGAAAGGAACCACCCCACTAAACCTCCCTTCCAACACCCCATGTATATATCTAAACTCAATAATTTTCCTATCTTCTTTCCTATTCATTTACATAATCCTATTTCCTTCCATACACCATACACCACCCAAAAAAACCCTTCTTCCCTCCACCCTCTTCCCATATTCCCCATTCCCCAACCTCAAAACCTTCTTCAACCTCGGGCCACAAGTACTATCCGGTTCACATTTCAGCCCAAATCTCAAGTATCTTCGACCCGGTTCCCGGGCCCACAAAAGAACCCGACCCACCGAACCAGTCCATAATAAACCAGCCAAAATGGGTGTATGTGATGCAGTCTATAGAGCTTCAAGGGTGATGGATGCTTTTGTAAATACAGAAAGAACAAAGGGTGCTTCTTCTCCCGGGTGTATAGTTGTTGGCACTATCGTGTACCCTCTTGGATCTGGTTCTAGTACCATTTCACACGATATTTCTCGGGAATTTACGTAATCGGTCCCTCCAACTGATTCATGTAAATAGATGTTGTAAGCTGCACGACGTCCACGTGTTTTAATTATCCTCATCCCAATGTAGAACATCATGGAATCATGACTTGATTGATAGTTTCTGAATCCCGCTGTTGTTCTTGAAAAACTCACCCCCTACAAACACACATCATTCACTCCATCAATACATATAACATCCTTAACTCTTTAAATTTGTATCCAAATTATACCATTATAACCCGTTATAATGATATAACCGGTACAACAAAAGGAGTTTAGAGACTGTCTAAACTCCTTTTGTTGTTAGTTGTAAGTTGTTACAACTTACAACTAAATACCTGAGTCAAGGTTATGAACACATGTATGGGACACGATGCGTCAGAACCCGTGGCCCGCACTCTAAACTGCGGATTCTGATGCCACGTGTCGTAGTCCTGACACCCACCGGCACTATACCCCCGCCATTGCCCATGCACGGAGTATCGCATCTCCGGTGGATAAACACGGCAAACATAAATTGACCGAAAATGAATCTGGAAATCTTGCCAACTCATCCAAAAGATCCCATCTCTCGCCTATTACAAATCAAACGTTCAAAAAATTAAAACCATATGTATATAATCTCAACATGTATGATTTCTTATAACATAAACATAAACATATTAAATACCCGAGGGACATGTTTAAGTTTGTGTTTCATCCTGTCCGTCCATTCGGGAGATGAATCGGACCACGGCCCGTTCCATTCGACTTCATTAGCCCACGGGTTTCGTATTTGAACGAGTTTATGGCCATCAACTTCTCGGACTTGAAGTAAGGAATACGCGTGTCCTTGAACGATTCCACTTGAAGAGATGTGGACATCTGAGCCCGATGGGCTTCCGGCTCCTAATAAGAATCCTTCTTGTTTGAAGCGGAGTAATTGAGACCATAATCGGCCACTAGCGAGATCGATTTGGGCTTGTGCGCTTCTCATGTCAATTTCTTCACCGGCCCCACCTGTGAGGTCAACTAGCGCGTCTTGGACTAGTCCTCCTTCTAGGGCTTCGTAGGACCCGTGGAGTTTTGCGTATGCTTTTTCTAGTAAGGAAACCCAAAGCTCGTTGCCTTTTTTGCTTGTGGCAAATGCGGGTTTTCCCGGGGATTCGCATGGGATCCAGTCGTCCACCACAACCGGAACCCATTCACCCTAACAAGATTACAATGTTAGATGATAGTTATTATAATCAACATAACCACAGGCTCCAGAATATACCTGAATGCAGAAACGAACAGTGTATATTCCTTCCTCATTATATTCCGGTGTAATTATCACTTCTGATATTCTTGAAACCTCAGTCAGAACAGCAACAGCACTCAAAAACCAACAATCACCCAAACGCCCCTATTCAAAAACACAAATTAAACCAAACAAACACATGAAGAAGAAGAAGAGAAAAAAGGATATAGGATTATACCTGACAAACATCGGAAGGATTTGCATCACCAGAAAACAAACATGGAGGAGAACCCAACTGATTCTCAGTGACTATTTCCCTTGGTTTCATCCATTTAGACACAACCTGCAATTTAGAAGGCGGATTGTCTGGATCAAGAAACAAGGATCTGTCAATTGGAGGGAACTCTTGATCTGTAAAGTGTGCTTCTCCTTTAGCCAAAAGGTTTTCTTTCACAGCAAGTTCAACCGATAGCATTCGTTGAATAATCTCTTCATGTGTTTCCATTCTTGGTTTTCTCAACCTTCTTGCAAAAGAATCCATATCCACAATCACCCCTTCACGTTCCGATCTCCTTTTCCTCCCACTTGAATACTGCCCATCCCAATCCACGTCATCACGGTCATACAAATCCACCTCAGCAGGATCACTATCCCACTCATCAACCTATCAAAAGTCAAAACAAACATTGTGTTATGTTAATATGTTATGTGGTGATGTTGATCTGTTACGATTCATACATACTGATATACAAACAAACATACCCTGGGAGGAGAATCACTCCATTGCCAATTATCTTCAGGGAGATCGAGCATATTATAATCGGTGGACCCCATGGCGGCAGGAAGGGCGGAGATTTCATCTTCCAACAAACATCGCCCCCAGAGAAAAAGATCCATTATATGCATTTTCGATTCCGCCCCTTCGCTGTCCGACCGCCCAAACGCGTCCACATCCGTAGGCGGTCTGACACCCACCCAGACGTCAGTCCCCGGCTCCCAAATCCCATTCCCTACCGGCAACGGTAATCCGGTCTGATACCCATCAAATCCACCGTCTAAATAACATGTCGCCTCCCCTAAATCCGCATCAATCGTCACAGTCACCGTATGCCACCTGGCAATCATAAATTTTTTTAATATTATCTTGTACATGACATAACATTATATTTGACAAAAATATCATCTGAAGCTATTGGATTACCTTCCATCGGCGATGCACGCTGCACCGATGTTCCATCCCTTTGATACGGTAGACTGTCTGTCTCCTTGGCGGTCTTCTTTGGTTATCAGTCGAAGCCCGACTTGTCCCGCCTCGATTCCTTGCTCGGACCCCGCCACGAGAATTTCCCAGCAAATTTGTTTTTGAAATTCGGTTCCCAAGAGACAAACGGGCCCCGACTCCGGTTGGATCATAACCGCCATTGAAAAACTAACTTTTTGTGTTTGACATATCGTGGGGTCCAGTTGACCGCAGTATCTTCCACTTGTCACGGGCTCATCATCAAGAACGCACACCGCACCCGGTATTCCCGTCTGACACCCAAAATTATAATTTCAATTTTAATTTTTTTTTTTAAGAAAAAATGATAAAATTATGATTTTGATGAAATGGGAATTGGGAATTACTTGGAGGGCGCGACGAGATAACTGAGTGGCGCGAATTCTTTTTGCAATACTTGAAACGCGTTCACGGGCGAAAGAATCATCAAGAACGGAATCACCGCCTACCGCCCGCACGGCGGCTGACATGGCGGCAGCCTCCCTACTTCCAGCGTTTGGAATCGAGGATATCAATGTAGCTTCAATCTCTTTCCATTTTCTTTCTTCTTTTTCCAAAAGTGCTTTTCTCCTTTCTTTACCTCTCCCTTCCTCTTCACGTCTCTGCATCAACATCTCCTCTTCCATCTCTTTCTCTCGTATATAACTAAAATCCCAAACAAAAAAAAAAAAAAAAAAAAAAAAAAAAAAAGTGTCAAATTAGGGTTTCCAAGAATCAAGATGACAAATCGAGTATCTTGATTCGGATGACTTTTTTATACCTCTCCTGTATAATTTCAAACTGTCTTCGGTCTTCTGGCATCCATTTTTTAATCTTTTTAGCACTTAGATCCGAAAAACCAATGCTATCAAGAAAGAGTCTTAATCGAACCTCATCCTGTAACCCAAATTTAAAACATTAACACGAATAAAACATAAACTACTTTGCATGAAATGGGTTCATGGATTCATGTGTTGACCTGTACACGTTCTGCTTTAGCAGTCAAACCGAGTAAAAGAAGTAAATAGCCACCAAATTTGTCCCACATGTATACCCACTCAGTATCGATTGCTTCTTCTAAAGCTAGAATCCGTGCATGTGCACACATTTCTCTTCTGTAACCTACATCATTTGTTGAATCATGTTGAAAACATATCCCGTGTTTTATCTTTCTAATAATCGATCCAGCTGCTAGTTCTTCGTTTTTTAATCTATCTCTTAGTTTCATAACATCTGCTCTTGGAAGCACAAAGTTTCCTGCTCTATCACGTGTAACAGTTGGGTCTCCAACTAAAAGAGCAGCTGAGCTAGCAGACCTTTGTGGGGCCGAATAAGTTCCCGATAAAGCATTTCTTGTCTGAAAAAAAAAATCATTTATAGAAAATATAAATCAAAGAAAACCAATATTAAGTTATTAACTACTACTAAATGTAATTGGATTTTTATATACCTTGGTGGCAGAACGGGCGATTGCTTGAATGATGGTGTCTTTACTGAGAAAGTGTACAGCATCTTCCATCATCTGTTAATTGAAGAAAAGAATCGGTTTTTTAGTGGAAAAGAATGTTTTTTTTTTATTGAATTATAATTTGGGTCAAAGTCAAACCTCGAGAGTCAAACATGGTCGAGAGACTGCAAACCCGAATGATACAACAAGTGTAATTGCTGAAACAGCTGCTCCAGCAAATGGTGGATAGATTACTAAGCTTGCAACAACACCCCACCCTTCAATTGCTAATGCAATCCCATAGAGGACAATGAAAGCAACACTGTTGCACAAGAGTAGATTGTGTTAGAGAAAAGCATTTAAAGAGGTGGGAATTGGAGATTCCGACGAAGTGGGAATTGGTGATTCCGATTTCCTACGAACCTGACGTTTTTCCCGCAATCAGCATGAGCATCGTATACATAAACAGGGAGAACACGTGGAGAGTATACTACTATGGGAGGTGAAAGAAGCACCTATTGGAATTAAAATAAAAATAAAAAGTTTTATCATAAGAAACCTATAAAGATAAGCTTCAATAATATAACATGATTGTAGATTTGTATTTATAATTCTATATAAACTTACAGTCAATGCTCTGCCAGCAAGAAGAAACAAGAATGAAAAGTAACCAACCGAAGCTCCAACGAAAGATCTCCCTTTAATTTGATGAAAAAAAAAAGTATAGATTATGTGTCATAATCTCTCGTGAAGGTTATCAACAAAAAAAAGATAAAAGATAAAAGAAAATGATGAGGTTTTTGTGTACCTTGTCGCCATCCAACAAAGAATGCAGCAAGGGCGAGTAGAAATGCAAGAAAAGAAACAACAAACATTTGCATTCTTGTTAAGTAAAAGTTGTTTGAAGCCCAAAAGTGGATGATTCCAATAGCTAGAACAATGAGGAGTAGAAGTAAAAGGAAAGATGCCCCAATCTGTTGTCATACAAAACATAAATCAAGTTATAACATAAAACCCTAAATCATAAACCCTAAATAGTAAGTATTTAATCATGGACTTACCGTCCATGGTTGAATTATGACAATTACAGCCGAAATTGCACTTAGAAGAAGAAGAAGTCCGATAATGACAAACACATAAACACCTCGTGAAAGTCTCCAATTATCATCCTTCCTGAAGATTTGAAAAATAATCGATTAATGATTAATCGCCCTTCAAAACTCGTGTACGATAATTTTTGTGATTAGATATAATAATATGAGGGATACCATTTAAGCAAACCAGAGGAGAGCGATAGCAAAGCTGGGATGCAAACTAAAGGAAGTAATGCAGCTAAAAAATCGGCTTTTTCAGGTACGTCGTCATCTCTAGAGTTCACAACTTCAAGATATGATGCGCCACAAAATGCAACCAGAACAACTACAGAGAGAAAGGGCATAATGGTAAATTGAATACAGTTTTTATTATAAAAAAGGAAGAAGATAAGATAAGATAAACGTGAGAATAGTTACCTGAAAATATGGCGACACATATGGCTGAAGATAAAGAGAAACGATAAGTTGCAAACCATGAGGCAATTGGTAAGAGCCCTGTAACTATCAATGCAATTACAGCAGCCATGGCCCATCCGATGTAAGCTGAAGATGCGTATGGAGATTTGATACTGTTGTCGCCACCTGTCCACCCTTTGTAGCCTAAATCCTCTAAAGGCTTTGCAGATACGATTGCACCTAGGGCTAATACGGATCCAATAAAGATTGATATGCAAATCGAAAGTACAACTCCCTGAAAACATTTTACAAGCTAATAAGTTTAGTGTAAAGTAGTAAGAAGATTAAAGATAAGTAGATAACAAACCTCTTTCATCCAAAGAGTTCGATAGTTTCCTACTTGACCTCCATAGTCAACTCTTGACACCCAAAATCGGTATCCATTGTGTATCCAAATTGGAATTGCAACAGAAAGGCATGCTACCATGAGTGGTAAGGTTAAAGATAATCCAAGAAGAACAGATGATTTGCTGAAATATTAGTTGAAGATGGATTAAAGTTAAAAAGATAAATCTTTTACTTGTGAATCTATTGAAAAAAAATTAACTGTTGTACCTTAAGAAAGACAGCAGCAGACCAACACAAGTACTTAGAAGCCAAGCGATAAAACCATACTGCAATTTTTAACATAACAGAGTTCATGAATAAAGAAAAAAAAATAGAAAAAGAAATTACAAAAAATGTAGTTTACCTTTCGGGGTTTTGAAGTCATCACCATGTCTTCAGCTTGTAGTGACCGAAGGAAAGCCATAATGGAACAGATAACAAGTGATAGTAGCAAAACAGCACACCCGAATTCAAACTGTATCCATTTTTGTAGATTAGAGATAAAAAAAAGAAGCAACTTTCATAAAGATTTTGTATAAAAAGGAAACCCTTTATACCTGTTGATGTGTTGCACCAATGACTTCGACTGTTTTTGGACGAAAATGCCCCACAATGACAGTTTCAACAATGAACACAAAACTAAAAAGAACCCATGCACGTTCTGGAGTCCCAGCAATATGATGCAAAAGGAGTCTGAAAATTCTAAGCCATTTTTCAAGTCCACGAATCCTAAGTTCTTCAGATAATGAAATTTGATTAGGCAAAGTGTTATCAACAACACCATTTGAATCACTAATCATAATATCAGTATTATCACGATGATCTCTATCAGCATCAAGACTACTCCTTTGCAACAACGCGAGTATTGTGGGGTCCAATCCGTTTTCTTTCAACATCACTGCAAAATTCGGATCCAAACCCTTATCTTGTAACAAATTAGTCAACTCAATGTCCCCTTCTCTTGCTCTTTTCTTCAATAAAGACGTGATTCTTGGGTCATTAAACTTTTCTTGAAACGCCAAAGCTAAGTTCAAGTCAAGTGTCTGTTGATTTGAAGTTGACTCATCACTATTTTGGTCAAAGTTTCTTTCAGCTTCTTGGACAATTGATCTGCAAGAACTACTGTGTAGAACTACACTTGGTCTTCCACTATCTAAGCTTTTTTCACTGTTGATTCCTTCTGCATGATTCCAATTGTTACCTAAATGACCAGTTTCTGCACTACTACTACGTTTCACACTTGAACCACATCCTTCCGATGAACTTGAAGAACTGTTTTGTTCTTTTTTTCTGAAACCTTCTCTGAGGCGAATCACAGTGCTTTGTAAGGCGTCTCTTCTTGCTGCTAAAGGGTTTGTGACTGACAGGTGGCGCGTCACAGCTGCGCCAAGTAAGACAGACCCCACAACCGCATAACTTATACAGTGTCCAAGATACCTATGCAGATAAAGAACACTCAAAAGTTCAAGAAACGAAGGTAAAAGTTGTGTGTGTATGTATAAAGATTAGAGGAATAGAAAATTAGAAAAAATACCAGTAATGAACTCCAAAGCATATCAGGAAGACGCGAGAAGCACCAGCAACAAAAAGAGCAATGACACGGCTTTGAAGAAGCTCAAACCCGTATAAACAGGCACCCATGTTCCAATCTAGGAATAGGAATCAAGAAATTAAGGAAGATAGGAGATTAGGAAATTAGGAAATTAGGAGTAGCATTGGTTTAATGTGTATATATATACCAAGAATTATAACAGCAGCTGATGTGATAGCTCCAAGCCAATTTGACTCCTTTGCTGTTAAGCCATACAATATAGAATACACAAGAAGTACAAGAAGTGACCCGAGATAAAGAAGCCCAAGATGTGACACCCTGAAAGAGTTATTACTCCTGTTAGTGAAAATATGTTGCAAGATTCATAAAGATGCAATCTTTATGGTGAAAGATTGGAAAAGAAAAAAAGGGTACTTGCCTTCTAGATTGTCTAGGATATAAGTCATTTGGATCTGGTGGTTCTGGTAAACATGCAACTGGGCCAACTTCAATGCAGTCAGAATAAGCAAATTTGTATGCACTTCTAACATATTCATCAACATCCAAACCGTTTCCTGTAATGATTTGAGCACACCATGAAGAATAAGCAAACATGAGAGAAGAAGAAGAAAGAATAGGGTTATAGGTCACAAGTAGTGACAACCTACCATTAAACACCATTCTGCAAATGAAGAGCATGTTGATTGCTAAAGCAATTGCTGAGACCCCAAAGAAGAATCCAGAAGGTGAATACCGTTGTGGAGCAGTTGAACCAGCTGTAACATAAACTGCACATAGTTCGTATGCACAGAGGAGTGCAACAGCTAGAAGAAGAAGAACAGCAACAGCTCCTATTCATGAAACGACATTTGTACCCTTTAATATCTTTTAGAAATGTATGATATATGTGTAAGATGTTGTAAACTGAAAGGAAAATGGATATGGGAGATTTGGATCATACTTGAGCTTTGCCACTGTGTTCGCCACCAGAGCATTATGGAATAGAATGCCAAAAGAAGAGCAGTTCCAGCCATAATTACTGCTAAACCAATAATATCTCTCCCAAGTATTAAGATTAACCAACATCCCCATGTGATAAGAACTACAATTGGAGAAACGACAACAAGCCATGAACAAAGGGATAGAAAACCGCATAGTATTCCCAATTGAGGGCCTTGGAGGAAACTTGGCCATTTTCTAGCAAAGATCCAACTGAGCAAATATGACAACAATAACAGAAAGTGTTAGGTGATAACTTTTAAGAGGTTCAAAATGAACAAATTGAAACCAACTGATTAATAACTTAAAGCATGTTAATCTAATGTCCCCTAGTTATAGTTGAACATTTAAGAGGTTCAAAATGTAATGTTATATACTTATATACCCAATTTCCAAATCTTCCTATTTTTAACTTTCGAGTTCTGTTTAGCTGAAAAATGTAACAGTAATCAAAGAAATCTATTGAATTCCCCATTGCTTCAAATGGGAACCCAAAACGACAAAAACTGGTTAACAAAACAGGAAATAAGGAAGAAGTACCTGTATATCCGCCATGGCCGCCAATTAACAGCCCAAAGTATCGCAAAAGAAGCCAACCCCAAGAAAGAGAAAAGGGTTCCCGATATTATGCATGCCAACATTACATCCCTGTCATCCCCTTCCATGGCTTCTTCCTCCCTTTTCTCTCTAGCTTTTCAACTACACCGCAGATAATATACAGAAAGAAATCAAAGCGTGATTAACATATAATTTAAAACAAAACATAAAATTCAACCTAACTAAGTTACTTTGAAACCAAAAAGATATGCAATTGAAGCAAACAACTTACTTCACTGAACTGGTTTCAGCTGCCAATAACATCGTGATAACTTCTAGGACGCGAAATTGAGTTCAAGAGGAACTAGGGTTTAGTTTATTTTTTCAGCTGGATAGCACCGTCATGTAATCAATAAACAAAATCAGGAAGTTAGGGTTTTGAAGAATGTAGCGATGGACGACTTCAGCAACACCAAGTTTTGGAATTTTCTTCTTCCGTATGAAACCCCTTTTCGATTTGTTAGAGCTCCTATTTACACGCAGTTTCACACTCAAACACACAGTGAAAAAAAATGAGAGCTTTTT